GGGTTTAAGATTAAGCTAGATAAGTTTATGGAGGGAATGGTTTAATGGGATAACATGATTTTAGTCAAATGAACAGCGTGCCATCGCTGGTAAATAGTAACAATGGCCAATGAGGGTCTGGCTGGAGAATCTTGCCTACATGCTCGGGGTTCTACTGATCGCCATATTTGGGGTCGGGAAGGAATTTTTCTCCAGGGTAGATTGGCAGAGGCCCTGGAGGTTTTTCGCCTTCCTCCGCAGCATGGGGCAGGGCTCACTAGCTGGAGGATTCTCTGCTACTTGAAGTCTCTAAACCACAGGATTTGGGGACTTCAACAGCAGAGTCAAGGGAAAGGGGTTGGGACGGCTTTGTGGCCTGCATCATGCGGGAGGTCAGACTAGATGATCATAATGGTCCCTTCTGACCTTAAAGTCTATGAGTCTATGAGTCTAAGATATTGAACAGAACCGGACCCAGAACTGATCCCTGAGGGACCCCACTTGTTACACCTTTCCAGCATGACTGTGAACCACTGATTACTCTCTGGGAACCAGTGGTGCAAGTAAAATCCATGTCTTACCAGTACAGCGGGGGGAGGGCGACCAGCGAAGTAGGGCACGTGACCTCCCCATGTGACTCCTCACCGCCCCGCCCCCAGTCCAGGGCCCTCACGCTCTCCTAGGGTTACCATATTTGAACATTCAAAAGAGGACACTCCACGGGGAGGCGGGGGGGGTAACCTTCGCTGTTGCAGCTGCCCTCCCGGACATTTTTAGATATTTAAATAGAGTTACCATACGTCCATATTTTCCTGGGACGGCGATTTAAGAACCAAAAAGCCTGACATGTCCAGGAAAATACAGACGTATGGTAACCCTACCTAAAGTTCTTTTTTAAAAAGATGGGCCTGAACTAGAAATGAGCTCCGTTTCACAAGTGTGGGTCCCAGCTGCTCCCTGCCCCGCTTATTGAAGCAGGTGTGCAGGGTTACTGCCCTGGGAACTGCAGGGCACCAGTGGACGTGGGGCCAGCTGCAGATAGGGGCACGGGGCAGGGCTGGCTGGAGGCAGGGCAGGGGCTGACTGGAGGTAGGGGCTGCCTGCAGGCAGGGCAGGAGTGCGGCAGGGGCTGGAGGCAGGGGCTAGCTGCGGGCAGGGGGTGCGGCAGGGGTTGGAGACAGGGGCTGGCTGCAGGCAGGGTGGCAGGTACTCGCAGGGAGAGCGGCTCGGGTCAGCAGCGCACGGAGCAGCCCGAGCAGAGCAGCAGGACTCGGCCCAGGCCAGCAGAGCAGACGGGGACCCGCCGGGCAGCACCAGCAGAGGAAGTCCCAGGGCCAAGGGAAGCATCACAGCAACAGGGCCCGTCCCCAGGGCCAGGCGGCGGCCTGCATGGCTCCCGCTCCCACAGCGCCGGGCCCCTGGCCGGGGTGGGGCCGG